TAAAGGTCGTCTGACATGAATGAATTGGGCCCAAGGCCATCTGATAGGAAAGAATTGGGCCTGAGACTGTTTGATATGATGGGCCAAAGGCCATTTGATAAGTTTGGCCCTGAGGCTATTTGATGTATTAGATAGAGATATGAATTGGCCTAAGGTCGTTTGATATGTCTGTTACGAATTTCATTCATGTAACTTCTTTATTTTGATATTATTCACTAGGCTTTTGCTCACTCTTATTTATATGTATGTAGGTGAGCAAAGAGATGTCCAAACCTAGCCTCAGTGAAGAATATAAGAGGAAGTAAAGTTTTGTGGAGTCAGCGCTAACGTCTCACGCACGAGACTTTGTTTTGTTCTTTTGTTTACTCTTTTGCTACCTTGGTGAATACATTGGATCACCCATGAATATAAGCTTTTGTTTGGCTAACTACATGTTTGAAGTTCTTGGATGAATAAAATGTTAAGTCTGCCTATATGTGTGAGTTATTATGAAATGTTTTTGGAATAATTTTTCTATGCCATATAAGCACAGCTCATTGGACAAATTTTTAAGTCTGCTTCCATTTTGGCCCCTTTATTTCTACTGAAACATGTTTAATCAGGTTTGAGGCCGTAAGTAATCTCATGATTACTGGCCGGTTATAATCCATAGGGGTGGGTTCGGGTCATGACAGTGTGGTATCAGAGCACAAGTTAATAACTCACACACTTGTCCAAATGAGAAATAAGTGTATAGAAAAGATCTAGGATGAATTCATGTGATAAGTATGAACTTGAAGACATTGGAAATATGCTTAAATGTTTTGAAATGAATGATTATGTGCTATATGCTTTGTGATTTGCTTGCATTGTGATTACTTGAATATGTATGCTCGTTCGTATATGCATACTAGTGAACATTTTTGTATAAAGAATAATGTAAGTTTAATAAGATAATGGTGAGAACAAGAGGTGATGAATTAGAGGAGTCCTCTACTACTAGAATGGATATGATGGAAAGATTAATACAGGATATGGTAGAAACATTGAGGCAACAACAATAGTGGCAACAGCCACACCCTCCGCCTCCACCTCCAGTACCGCCTGTACAAGATCTACAGAATGATGACCAAACAATAGCTCTCGCCAAAAAGTTTAAGAAGATGAAATCGCCACAGTTTCATGGGGCTGTAGGCGCGCCTTTGGGCGTCCTACTACAGTTTGGACTCAAATGTCACGGTTCTTAATCTGATCTCACAATGTGCGATGTGAGATTGATAAATCACCAAAGAGTCCAAATCCGACAAATCGTTTTGGAAAACTGATTTTTGTAAAGAAGTGCCAAACATGGACTGTTTTTCCAGATACAGAGTCGCCACCTAAATATTTTATTTTGGGGGGATTTAGGAAACCTTGACTCGTGCCTAAGGCCACGTGTCCGTCATCTATGAGCACCCCCGCTCGCCCGATCAAAGATCGGCCTGTACTAAACATGATATCTTATTTTTGAAAACATATGCATTCTTATTCCGGTTATTAGCTAGAATTTACTATGTGATGTGCACAACACACAAGTATAGACTAGATCGCCTAATTTGGAACAAAGCATTTCATTTTCATTTGTTTGAAAATGGTTTGAAGTTTGCTACTCGTGAGTAGGCTAAAACACGGATTTCAATGAATCGTTCCAATTCAAGCAATCCAACCTTCACCCACAAGCATCCAGGCAGTTATATCACATAAGCAATTAGCCTCATGGCAAGCATGCTGACATGGCAACATTAACACATATGCAGTATGCTAAAGCATAAACACTCACAGTGTACTCCGAGCCAAAATAGAGAACTAGTTAGAAATCAATGCATGACCCTAGTTCATGTTAAGATGGCTAATGTGACATATGCAAAATGCAACTAGAAATAGGCTCGGCTAATGGCATATGAGATACAACAATTCGATACATGTATTCAACTTGGAATTAAAATACAATATAGTTAGTATGATGCGCCGAGCCCGGTGCATGCAATATAGATGAATGGTGCAAATATGCATAGCATAAGGATGCTAATTGAAATATTCCCTAGAACTAACCACTGAAAGTAGGTAAGTAAAAGAGAGAAAGAAGTGGGGGTTAGAAGACATGCATCACACACACGCACGCTTATTACATAATTGCGCCCTCTCGACGGAGGGACTGAAAGAATAATACAAATCACCTAATTAACTAACTAACAAGCTAATTAATTATTACACAACCTTTAGCTAATTAAACAAATTAATTAAGCTATGAAAACAGTAAAACAGCCGCGGGAAAAGAGATGAATGCATGCTCGGTCGGCTTCGCTCGGAAATCTGTTGCCATGCCTCATGTTGCCTCTGTTTGCACTGCTTTGCACCTCTGAAAACTACACAAGTCTCTGTGATGCTCCAGAACCACTTCATGGTCATTCTGAGAGGCCATCGGCCAAAATATAGAGTCATTGGCCAAGGGAAACTGGTCATCGACCAAAACTAAGACTCTCGGCCAAGTGTTTGTTGCCGATCGGCACTGAATATGGTCAATCGACTATTTGTTTCTGCTGACTGCTCCTTTTGCTGCAACAGAGGACAAACAGAGCATGTCAATGCATTTGCAAGACAATGTCTGCACAACTACACCCCTTATCATGTTTAAGACTCAAATGTGTGTAGTTCTCGACCCTCAGACCATCAATCACGCATTTCGATGCATGATGGTCAAAGGAGCCAAGTGTGCAATTCAATATCAAATGAAATGCACAAAACACATAAGGGCCCCCAACCTCTACCATGCTTGATCAAGAGGCAAGGGATGCACACATAATACAATGTAAACATGCAAGCATGAGGCAAGCAACTCAAACATGCAACAAGTATGCAACAAGATCATGTAATGCACCTAATATGCAATAGGCATACTACCTAAACATGTGAGGATACATGGTATGCAACAACATGCAAAATGAAGCAAGCATGCAACAACATGCAAAACAAGCATGCAACAACATGCAAAGATGGACTTAAACTAAAGTGGACAATTCTTAAACGTGCCCAAATCAGTGGCCAAAATGCTAAGAAATGAGGGACAAGAGCATATACAAACATGCATACTAATTAGCCTATCACCTAGGCATGAAGACACAACTCTTAAGCACACTTAAAAGAGTGAAAAGTATGCAAGTGTGACAACACTACATGCTCTGAAATGATGTTAGAAATGATGCCAAATCACACATATAATCATAATCATAGCATGCATAAGTCTTAAAGCCTAAGACTAGCAAAGGGACCTGAACCAAAGCTACACAAAACAAAGAGCATATGGCAAGTATAACCAAAAACAATCCTGAATCATGCCAAAATGAGCCTAAAACATGCAATGGCTGAGACCAAAACATGCTAGAAAGGTGGGCTCAAAACAAGGAGCATGCAAGGCTACAAAAGGGGTGTTACACTACGCCTATCAAAACCGAACATGGTATGATTTAAGCAACCAAAATCAAATTTATGGCATGTTAGCACAAGACCAAAAACACATTGAAATGGCATCCTAGAGGCCTAAACATGGAGGCATACACAATGGTCCATTCATGAGGCATAAGACATCAACTCTTTAAAACATTAAAGGAGTGATAAGTGCAAGTATATGAGCATACTATATGGACTGGAATAACATAACAAGTGATGCCAAATCACTGAAATGACCCAAGTAAAGCATGCTAGTGACTTGGACACTCAAAGGTAACAAGCTAGATTACATGGTAGCTATACAAAACAATGCAAGAATGACTAAGACAAGGTAAAACAGAGATCTAGCATGGTAAAACAAGGCTAAAAGCTTCATGGAGTTGAGCCAAAATCATGCTAAAATAATATGTTACAACATGATGCATGTTGAGGCAAACAAGAGGATTGCAAAACAAGTATATGAAGTATATAAGAGGCCATCAAACCAACTTGAAACAGAGGTATATTATGGCAAAACAAAGCCTAATACACACTGAAATAAAGCTAAAGCAAGCTAAGCATACAAGCCACCAACATAAGCCATTTATGCAAGCATTCAAGACAACAAGGAGAGGGGATGACCCTCTCCTATTTAAGACCTCAAAACCACCTTTCCACCATTAAAAATCCTCTGGATTTCAGTAGTAGAAAGTTCATGCAAAGCTAAGAACAAAGGCCAAAAGGGATGGCCTAAAACAAGGCCTAACAAGGCCTTGGAGGGGGTAAACAACCCCAAACCAAGAAGAGATCTTAAACAAAGGTCTAAAGCAAGTAAAAACAGAACTTTTATCAGTTAATAGCTAAGCTTAAAACAATAACCAAGAAGGGCTAAAAGCTTAAGCAAGAATGGGGTATTAAAAGCAATTTTGCTCACCCTTAAAGAACACCGCCAAGAACACAACACCAGCAGGTTTCTCTGATCAAAATCACCTCAAGAACCCTAACACCAACTACTTAGGACCTCAGCAACCAAGGATGGTGTTCTACTAGGTGCTCTAGTGCAAAAGTATGAACAAAACAACCTTCAGGCACAAACACACACACAAACATGTGAAGAAAGGGAGATATAGAGATAGATAGATACAACTCTCTAACCCTAAATTTTTAGAACCTTTGAGAAGGGAGGAGGGGCTCCTTTCTTATAGAAGTCCAAATTCTAATCTTCCTAAGCAAGCTAAGGCAAGGGACAAATCCCTCCATACACATGTATAGAGGGGGGAAATTGTGGATGCCAGCTGTGACAGCTGGCATAAAATATCTGCAAAAAGTAAATGAACAGGGTTCGGCCAGAAAATATGGCTGATCAACCAACACAAGGGCTGATCGACTAAAAAGAGTGCCGATCGGCCAACACTTTTGGCCGAGGGCAAGAAAACAAAACAGACAAGTTGAGAGATCTTGAGGCAAGGAGCGCGGCCGAGACCTCCGGGAACTCAAAACGAACACGAGCATGGATAATCATCGAGTGTTCAAACGATGACGTCCAAGTCTTAAGGATGGTCAAAGATGGGGTGTTTACAGGGGGATTGGATCCATTAAAGGTTGAAGCATGGGTCCTTGGCATAGAGAAATTGTTTGAAGTGTTTCCTTGTCTACAAACACAGAAAGTATTGCTAGCCACCTTTACACTAGAAGATGAAGTGAGAAGATGGTGGATGTTGATGCATGAAAGTAATAAAGATATTGGTTGGGCATGGTTCTTGGAAATTTTCTATGATAAATACTTTCCACAATGTGTTCATGACAAGAAAGTTTCGGAGTTCATGGAACTTAAGCAAAACAGCATGACAGTAACCGAGTACGAGGCCAAGTTTACTGAATTGGCCAGATTTCCACCACACATGGTTGATACCGACTATAAGAAAGCGAGACACTTTGAAGGAGGTCTTCAAAAAGATATCTTAGAAAAGGTGAATGTACTAAAGCACATTGATGTGCTAGATCAGGCCATAATATCATAAGCTAACATAGCCAGGTAGAATAAATCATCAACTGATTGGAAAAGTAAAAGACAGGGTTTCTTTTCAAAGAAAATACTTTCAAAAAAAAAAAGAATACGGGCTCCTCAAGCACTTCAAATTCTTCTAGAGATACGTCTCCAATGTGCAACCAATGTGGTAAAAGACATCGCGGGGTTTGCTACTGTGTTTCAGGGGCTTGCTTTAAATGTGGTAAAATAGAGCATATAGCCAGGGATTGTAAACAAAATAGTGAGAAGTTAGCTGCTAGCTCAACTGCATCAATCCTGAAACTGGGAAACACTACTAGGCCTACTACTAGCAGAGACACCGTGAGGAAATGGAGAGTTTTTGAGCTCATTCCGGGTGATATACGAAACGCAGAAGCCGTCGTGTCAGATAAATTTCTTGGAGAATTGGTTGATAGGAAGATAGAGTTTACTATTCATATTGTACTAGGTACTCAGTCTATCTCAAAGACCCCCTGCAGAATGGCTACTGCTGAAATCAAATAACTGAAAGAACATTTGCAAGACTTACTTGACAAAGGGTTTATTCGACCAAGTACTTCACCATGGGGTGCACTGGTATTATTTGTGAAAAAGAAAGATGGAACCTTGTGCCTGTGTATTGACTACAGTGAATTGAACAAGGTAACGATAAAGAATAAATACTTTTTACCCCGTATTGACGACTTGTTTGATCAGTTACAGGGTTCACAAGTATTTTCTAAAATTGATTTGAGATTCGGGTACCACCAATTAAATGTAAAGGCAGAAGATATTGAGAAGACCGCATTCAGAACGAGGTATGGTCATTATGAATTCCTTGTTATGCTGTTTGGAGTGACTAATTCCACTGCAGCATTTATGGATCTTATGAACCGAATTTTTAAGTCTTACCTTGATGAATTTGTTATAGTTTTTATTGATGACAATCTGATATATTCAAAGAGTAGACTTGAACATGAACAACATCTGAGAACCGTCTTGCAAACACTTAGAGAGAAGAAATTATTTGCTAAATTAAATAAATGTGAGTTTTGGTTGGATCAAGTTGTTTTCTTAGGGCATGTCATCAATAGAGATAGGATTTTGGTAGACCCATAGAAAATAGAGGCAATTGTAAGTTGGCCTACACTAACAAATGTAATAGAAGTCCGCAGTTTCATGAGCTTAGCCAGGTGCTACAGAAGGTTTGTGAAGGAATTTTCAAAAATAATCGTACCATTTACCTAACTGACATGCAAATGATAACCATTTGAATGGAATGATGAAAAAGAATCTGTCTTACAAGAACTGAAAACAAGATTGACCTCTGCACCAGTGCTAACATTGCCCACAGGTATGGAAAACTTTGTGATTTATAGAGATGCATCTTATAAAGGTTTGGGATGTGTACATATGCAGGAAGGACGGGTAATTGCTTATACTTCTCGATAATTAAGACAACATGAGAAGAACTACCCAACACATGACCTGGAGTTGGCCGCAATTGTATTTTCTTTGAAAATCTGGCGGCATTACTTGTATGGGGCAAAATGTGAGGTCTACACGGATCACAAAAGTTTGAAGTACTTCTTTACTCAGAAAGAGGTGAATATGTGGTAAAGAAGATGGCTTGAACTAATAAAATATTATGATCTTCAGATTCAGTACCATCCCGGGAAAGCCAATACAGTTGTTGATGCCTTGAGCAGAAAATCGAGGGGGAGTTTATCTTACTTACTTACTAAATAAAAAGAAATTTTGCAAGAATTTGAGAAAGCCGAGATTGAAGTTGTATTACATGAACAAGTTGGGTTGATAGCTGTCATTTCTGCTAATTACTGATGTCAAGCAAAGACAAATAGAGGATGAGGTCCTTAAGACAATAATTGATGAGTTTGAAGTGAAACCGAAACCAGAATTCAGTGTTGACGGTGAACTGTTAAGATTTCAAAGCCGAATGTGTGTTTCGGACATTCCCGAATTGAAGAAGAGAATCCTAGACGAAACTCACAAGTCGATGTTTGCTATGCCTATCGAGATTTAAAGCAAAGCTATTGGTGGCCCAAGATGAAGAAAGAAATTGTAGAGTATGTGTCCAAGTGCCTTCAATGTTAGCAAGTTAAAACTAAACATCAGAAACCAGGCGGTCTACTTCAACCTCTCCCTATTCCGGAATGGAAGTAGGAGCACGTCACCATGGACTTCGTTGTTGGTCCACCTAGAACTCCTGGAGGTATGGATTCTATTTGGGTTATAATTGATAGATTGACTAAATCTACGCATTTTCTGCCTGTGAAGACTATTTTTGATGCTTATCAATTAGCTACTATATATGTTGATGAGATTGTTCGTTTACATGGAGTTCCGGTATCTATTGTCTCGGATAGAGATCCGAAATTTGTATATAGATTATGGAAAAACTTGCAAAGGGCAATGGGAACAGAACTAAGATTCAGTACCGCATTCCACCCACAGACAGACAGGCAATCAGAATGGACCATACAAACTTTGGAAGATATGCTCAGAATGTGTGTTTTAGATTTTCAAGGGAGTTGGGAGGACTATTTGCCACTGGCAAAATTTGCATACAATAACAACTTTCACTCCAGTATCGGTATGGCACCATACGAAGCTTTATATGGCAGGAAGTGTAGATCACCAATTTGTTGGACAGAAGTCGGAGATAGAGCTTTACTTGGGCCCGAAATTGTGCAGAACACTTCGGAGAAAATTAAAATCATCCAACAAAGGCTCAAGACAGCACAAAGCCAGCAAAAGAATTATGCGGATGTTCGAAAAAAGATCTCTTGAGTATGAGGTTGGCAATCACGTATTTATTTGTGTGATTCCAATGAAGCGCCAGTTGAGATTTAGTAAGACGGGTAAATTGTCACCCCGTTATATTAGGCCGTTTCAAATTCTAGAAAGGCTTGGCGCAGTTGCTTATAAAGTTGCTTTGCCATCGGAATTCAAACAAATGCACAATGTGTTCCATGTATCAATGTTGAGGGGTTATCTTCGAGACCCGTTTCATGTAATCGACTACCACCGGATAGCACTTGATGAGAATATGGAATATGAAGAATGGTCAGAACGAATCATTGACCGGCAAGTGAAACAGTTGAGAAATAAGTCCATTCCAATGGTGAAGGTAGAATGGAAAGAACACTATGGTAAGGACGCTACATGGGAAAATGAGGAAGAGATGCGGCTACGCTATCTATATTTGTTTCTGAACGAAGGTAACATAAGTTTGGAGGTAAAATAAGATTGTGATAACCCTATTCTGTACTATGTTAATTACCATTGATTATGATTGTGATTAAGTTCTTATGTGATTTTTGGTGATAATTATGTTATTGATTATGCTTTTGAAACTATATCTGTTCACCGTAGGAAAATCTATCCAACTTACTGCTATAATTTGAAAATTGAAGACTGTAGAGGTTACGAAAATTGAAATTGTCTGCACCATTGTGATTAGCGTGATTTTTAGAGCCCATGGTGAAATTTAATTAAAAATTGATTCAGACCAAATTAATTTGATTAAATTGATTGAAATAAACACAATTAATTAGCCTTAATCAAGGTTGATTAGGCAAGCATATATATGGGCCTATTTACACTTAAGTTCACCATTTTGGAGCTCAAAATCTGAGATATACACTCTAGACAGAGAGTGAGCTGAATTTAGAAAGAGAGAGAGAGAGAGGGCTCATCCTTGGAAATTTTGCAAAGGAATTCAAGATCTAGGTGGATTAGCTCAAGGCTTAGCTATATTTGGAAGAATTGGAGCCTTTAGGTGAGTAACCAACCCTTAATCCATGAGTTTAAACTTGTAATTATGTGAATTCCAAGAGGATTGGTGATCAAAAACAAAATTTGAGTAGTGTTTGATGAAATTGAAGTTAATATCTCCATGCTTGTAAGGAATTACCATGAATGTGCATAATCATAAAGAATTGAGCACCAAATCACACATGCATGCATGATTTTGCTGAACTTCATGATTTTGAGCATCATTTTGTACCATTTGAAATGGAATTAGAGTCAATGATTTACATGCATGCATGAGTCATGAAGGTATGAAACTTGATTGCATGAATTTTGAAATTGACAAGAATTTGGGATGATTTTGCAAATGGACCATGATTTTAGATAATTGGTTTCAAATTACCTAAGTTTTTATGTTACTCAATGTTTCTCTATGTTTTGGCATTAATTTGCAAACCTTGGATCCTTTGGGGTTGTGTTTTGAAGCTCACGTAGCTCGCTGGAAAACTCAGAATTTGACCAGTCCGCTCGAGCGAGGAAACTCTCGCTCGAGCGTGAAAATGAAGCTCCCAGAAGTTTTGCAGAGATTTGCACTGTAGCTCCACCTCACTCGAGCGTCGAAAATCTCGCTCGAGCGGAGAGCCCTGTTTCAGTAATTTTGAAAAGTTGTTTGATGTTTCGTTCTCCATTCTCTTTCATTTCTAAGCACTCTTAGGCATGCATTGAGCATTGTAAATGAACTAAAAGGATAAGAAAGAGGCCTTAGAGAAATAAATAAATTAAGAACAGATTGAATCGCTTATGACCCAATATGTTATGAAATGTGTATGGTCAAGCGCAAAGGCAAATCCATCGGCAGAACACTGTGAGCAATATCTTAGAAAGGATATTTTGGAGTATGCTATTTTCGAAATGCTTACGTCTGTATAAGTTCACGGATTTGTTAATTTGAATTGTGAACGAATATTCGTTATGCCAATGATTGAGTAAGGCCGTTGGAATACGCTTATGATTATGAAATGATTATGATCTCAAGTATGAAATGCACATAAATATGAATGAATTGGGCCCGAGGCCGTTTGACATGAATGATTGGCTAGAGGCCGTCTGATATGAATGATTGGGTTAAAGGCTATCTGACATGAATGAATTGGGCCCAAGGCCATCTGATAGGAAAGAATTGGGCTTGAGGTGTCTAATAAGAAAGAATTAGGACTAAGGTCGTCTGATAAGAATGAA